TATATATTATTTATATATGTATATATTATATATATATCATATTATATAGATATATTTTGATATGCATAGCGCCAAAAAAAGCTGACAAAAAACGTTACATGCTTTTTTTCAAAAGGGAATATCGACCTCTACAATTTTCGATTCCACCTCAATGGCTGTATTTCCTATAGTCTTCGAGTTATTCGAGAAAAACGTGATTTGAGGGTAGTTTTAATTTTTTTTTAGCCCTTGGACTCAAGTTGCAACTTGCATACTTTTATCTGAGCTTTTGCAATAATATTGCATCGATTTTTCACAAATGCAGCCGGGCCGCTAAAATGTGTTATCTTTTACGATTTCCACTGGACTATTATGGAAACCTCAACCCTTTATTTTCCCGATAAACTCTTCCCACCATCAACCTCCATTTCACCCTGATATACTCAGTCCACCCTGTAACTCTCATTTTTTCCCAATGCATTCACTCCACCCTCAACTACCTCACCCTGAAACACTCATCCAAGCTCATCATTTTTTCCAATGCACTCAGCCCACCATCAAGCCCAATTTCACCATGAGACAGTTCTCGAATCCCACCCTGAGTCGATTTACCCACATCTATAGACGTTCTTTTTAACGCTTTGGCCATCTTGGAAATGGCTTAGTGAAGGTGAAAAAATATGGGCGCATTCGGTCGCAATTGATAAACTCAAATCGATTGAGAATCATTCCCTGAATCGATTTACATATACTTGTAGAGACATTTTTTCACCCCTTCGGGCATCCTGGAAATGGGCTCGTGAGGGTGGAAAAACCCCCCATTTTACCCTGAAGTATTCTATTATTCATCTCTTCTCACTCTCACCCCAATTTTTACCCTTCATTTCCCCTCCCTCTTCCCCCTAAATCCCCCCAATTTCCGTCAAAGCATCCATCCCATTTCTATCTCTTCATTTCACCCTTAACCATGTTTATACACATACCCCTTTCTCAATCCCAGTTTCACCTTTACACCCATGCTCTACCCTCACACATGTATGTAACCCCTAAATTAGCAATTTTCCCGCCCAACCCCATTTATTATTATCGTAAAATTATCCCCCCAAAAGTGCCCCTCCTTCGTGCGCTCCTGATCACTTCTGCCATTAAACTCATTTTTGCCTCTCCGAGATTTAGAGGCCCCACTATCGCCATCCACTTAATTTTAGTTTCACTAAAAATGACAGCTGATTACTTCCTCCTCGCGGACATAAAATACGGACGTTCAGTGCATCGAAGCCTTCCGGGGAACATCGCCAAAAATATAATAGTTATGTTCACGGGCCGGTAATTGGTTGTCGCGAGTGAAAAGTGAATGTGTAAAATGTGGGGAGTGTTTCTTTGTCGGAGTGATTGAACCGCCATATTTTTCTCGAAACGATCATTGGCGAATTCACCTTGGTGAAATCTAAGGGGTTTGCTTGGAACGTAATTACACGTTCATTCCTCAATTTCCGACCCCTGGGACCTAATTACCGGGTCGGCAAAAATAATTATCTAATTATTGCAATTTTTTGAGGATTTACAGGGGCCAGCATTTATGTACCCGTAAAACACATTTTTTCTGGAGAATTCTCTAGGGACTTGTTTGGTGAAAATTCCTCCACCCGGGCCTTAAATTAAAATACCGATACGGAAAATAATTTCGGTGGTCTGCGCATTGATACTGCACTGCGATAGCGCTGATGTCACTTGCTTCTTCCCGAGATACTCGAGTACCAGATTTGTTACCAGATCGTTACCAGATTTGGATCCGTCCGCAGACCAGACTAGCCCTTTTGGCGGCATCCATTCCGTATTTCGGCCCTGCTCGGTTGCCCCATTCCCAAGGCTGCCCCTAAAGCTCTTCTGGAAGTGCCATTCCACCCACAAACATCACCTCAATTCCGGCCCACAAGCATCACCTCCCTGCGACAGCAATGCCCGACGGTTACCATCCGCAGCAAGAATAGCCGCATGACCACTGCCTGCTCCTTTTCAGACCCCCAGTAGCCACAACCTGGCTGCCGAGACTCTCGCTACTTCCATTATGTCGAGTGGGGGTAAACTATCCGTCGCTAGTATCAACGCGATGAAAAAAAGTGTGACAACATCATCAAAACATCATCAAGTAACAAGTTTCCTGACTAATAAAAGCTGCTAACGGATGACTCTCTGACTGTTTGAGTCAAAAAAACTTAACATACAACCGATGGTAACGGAATACTCTATTTGTTCATTCACACCTTGTTTGAACGGTTCAAATACTATACTAGAATTAGCGGAAATTATAAAATAAGAAATGATCAACAGTAAGAAGTAGCAAAAGTAATAGAAGCATGCGGAAATTATCGAATACTTGCGTATTGATGATTTATTACATTTTCAGAAGTGAAAGTTTTCTTAGAAAATTTCCCAAATTACTATCAATTCAGGGTATTCTAAGGTTTTAACCCTAATTAATATTTGAGCCCGCGTGATATTAATCCGTTATAGAAGGAAACCAATAGTTGACGTGTCACAATGAAAACTCTAATTTACCAACACAACAATTTACTCTCATTAGTTTGAATCTATATGAAAAAAATTGTCAGCCAAGAAAGCTAGGCGATAAGAGTGAAACTACATGGATCTCGATGGGCACTTCAAATGAAAATGCTCACCTTAGCCAGCAAGCTGTATGAGGATATTTTCCCGATAACAGAAGCCACTCTTCATTATTCTGGAATTATTAAGGGTGTTAGGTTAATGAAAAAAGATAGTTGATGTTTTCGCCTCCATTTATAAAAAATCTATTCATTCACTTCTATACTTTCATGTTCAAGAAAGGATACAATTGCTTTGTGGTATGAAAAATATGAAATGAAAACTCGTGATTGTAAATTATTTAAATATCTTGAGAAAATTGCATTTATTGTCGTGCCTGATCAGGTTGTTGAGTCTGTGGGATTATTGAATTACCTACCGGGCTCCACACCCCTCCACAAATGCAAAGAAATTTCACTTAAAAAAATCTTGTATAAAAATATAAAGAATTTTGAAGGCGTTACAAATTAGACAACTAAATAGTGTGCTTACCCATTTTCGTATGATCTGGACTCCAAATAATATTGAAAGCATTCGTTCCATGCCGTGTATTCCACTGTGCCACATCGACAATCCTATCCCAACTAGCCAATACAGGGATAGTGACAAAACGTTTCTCGCCCTCCCAGTAGTACCATTGCACGACTAGTTCTCCGCTGATCTTGTTCCATTTCATGTTCTTCACATGGCCCAAAAAGGCTACTCGTTTATAGCCAATGGACTCCTGTCTCTGCATGTCCCACAGGGACAGAGAGCCATCGCCTTGACCACCTCCGATGCACAGTGTTCTCAAGTCCCAAGGGTGCCAAGCGAATGCCTTATTTTGAGACACAAAGATCATGAAAGAAATATATATGTTAGTGTTACATCAGATTTCACGACCGACGTGGAAAGAAATTTGCAAGAAAAATTAGCACTTCTGAGGGCCAAACGTGGGACAAAATGACATTCAACCACTTTTTAGGTTAAATTTCATCCAAAAAATAGACTTGAAGGACTAATTTATGCACCAATCTGAATCTAAAATGTGAGTCAATCTAATTTCGTTTAGCCGTTTTATCGCAAATTTAATTTCGTGTATTTGGTTGATAGAATAATGTGAGCAAAATGTACCTGTGGTGCATCATAGTAACCAATCTGGAGGTAAAGAATCATTGCCGGATAGAGGTAGATACGGACTAATTTATCCATGCCGGAAGTTGCCAGATACCGATTATTAGGGGATATGGCGAGGTTCAATACTATTCCATCATGGGATGGGAGCCGTTCAATTAAACGCTCTTTTTTAGATTCTCGGGTCCGGAAGAGTGATATCATCCCCGAAGTGCAGCCTCTAAATAATTTAAATACTTATCAATTTTATGATGAAAATAATAATGGAATTGTTTATTATGAAGTAATGTTTGTTTCTTGTATCAACAATAAAACTCTGCCCGTTATGTTTCCCTCAAAACTTCAGCCAATAGGATCGCACCGTTCGACCTAGCTACTCGCTATTCGGCTCATCATTTTTTGACAATTTTGTCACTAAAGTATATAAATGAAATAAAAAATTGTTGAATTGAGTTATACACTGATCGAAATTGACAGTTTGCATTTAATAGTAATATTCAGAAAATATTCATTAAAAAAATTTACTAAAACTCTTGCATTTTTGAAATCTTTATTCGATTTTTTTTTATATAAACTATGTCTCATGGTGCAATTCTGGCATTGAAATGTGACTGAAAAAATCTCCCGAACAAAACTCGAGCTTCAATATAAATCGTACACTTCTCCCCAAGATCTCTATATACAAAGGAACTTGTGTAGTTTTCGATAAAAATCAGTCGTGCTTCGCGCTCCTGATTTTTTAGCTTGCAAGACTTGACACGTTCATTTGTTTGCAACGAGCCTATTAGGGAATCCGTTCATTTTGAAACGCTCGTGGCATTATAAATAACAATACAAAAGAAATTAGCTATGACTCTCTTCGCATCATCAGTTACGTTCATTTCTGTCGTATTCTTCTATATTTGTCCAGTGCATTTCATGCCGCGCATAATTAATATAAATTTTTTATGATTTGCAGAAAAATTTGATGAACATTTGGAACTCACACAACAATTTCTTCATCGTCGATACTCCAATTGAGGCAAGTAATATCACAATCTTCACAAAGACACTCCTCGCTCCATAATACTTTAGATGATGAAACATCGAATACACATAATGTATAACTTTTCGAATACATGGCGATCTGATTTCCAGCATTATTCCATTTGATACATTTTACCTCTCGAGACCCTGGGAATGAGGATTCCACTGAAATACTTATGTGGGATGCATCTGAGTCGTCCATCGCGAAAAAATGTAAATTGACATCCACTGGGGCAACAATGCAATTTTTCGAGCCCCAATCAATAGCTCCGTAAGCTATAGAGTAAGAAAATATATATCATCAATTCAATAAACCTTATGTTGCTGAGAAATCTAAGGAAATAATTCAATCGTTTTACTTAAAACGGTGTTGAAATCAATGTTTGTCTAGAAAGTGCTTGATTTGCAAAGTTTTTCCATGATTTCGAGATGACATAATAGTTTAGGCGTTAGAAGCATTAAAAAGTAAAAACTTCCCAAATCACCTAACTTGTTGTTGAGGAGATAATTAATAAATGTACGAAAGATAATGCTCCAAATCGGATAGAATCTACTGTTCTAACAATTAAAAAGTGCTATTTTACCGGATTTCGCGATTATCTCCGGAAATGCAACTCTAATCACGAAATCACTGGTGACACAAATCTTATTGATTATGAAAATTGCCCCAAAAAAGGAATGTTTGAAACGCAATTAGACGTTTCAATATTTTCATTGTCAGGTCAGATCACGACTTCTCGGATGGAATCGAGACTTCCCTGTCAACAGTCATAGGAATCAAAATAAGAGAAATTATACCAGTATCGTCTCGGATGACCACAGTGGAAAGTACTGTAGTAGTCGTTCAGATGTTTTAGTAGTCGGACATGAAGTTAAACAATCAATGATCAAAGTCGGCATTTTTCGGGTGAATTTACAGTTTTCTCAGCAGTCAGTATCAGTTAATTATCTACCAAATTATTCGTTCAGTTAAACAACTCGTTAATCAGGCGAAAGAGACACTCAGCAATAGTCACATAATTATGAAATCAGTGTCAATTTTATAGTTTAATGACCAGAGACATTGAAAAAATCGCCAATGCTTCATGCTAAATTTCCTTGTATTTTTCCGGTACGTCTCCATCTGCCCAACACCAGACATTTCCCAGACATGTGTAGTGTGTACATATTTTTAAGAAGATATTATTGACTTATATTTGATCAATTTTTCGGTACTCTAATTGTGTTGAATTTGTCTAGAATATGACGAAATGCGAAATATGATGTTTTTAGATCATGACTATGTTGATGTACTGGAAAATTCGTAATTTTGAAGATACATTTTTTTTTAAATTGTAACATGTCCAATTTCACTGGGGATGAAATCGGCCAGTTAACCCACCCCTTTTCGCTGGAATCTCAAAATCGGCCAGGTAAAATCAAGAGTTGGGCGCCAGTCATTTTTTGTTCCTCCGGAAATAACAAACCGGAATACCCCAATGTCGGAAACAGAAGCGAAAACACAAAACAATACGATAAAATACAATCTCGACAGGAAATCCCAGGAAAAGGTGGTAATTGCCCGCGCGGCTCAGGGGGTCGGTTGTGGAGAGAGGGGTGGATCTGGGTGAAAACAAGTCTATTGAGCTGACCTCTAAAATAAATACTCAAAATCTCTAAATTCCAAAGCGAAGCCAAAAATATATTCAGCAGGAAAAATTATTAATACAGAGTTGAGAGAAATAAATACAATATTAGGCGTGACGTACGCAGAGACCCAGAAATTTTAATTATTCGAAATCCTAATAATCTCGAACGAGGCCAAAAAGGCACGGGCATAGTCTCAGGCGAATGCTCGCAACTCAAAAGTAATTTTTATTCCCAACCGGGATGGCGATAAACGCATAATTCAATAAAAGGAGGCTAATGATTCCCAAACCCCTATAAATAATCCTAAGGCGCAGGGCGCATAGCACTCAAGGTACGGCACTGCTCGAAACATACAACAAGTGGAGGCTCACTGAGCATAAAGCATAGCCATGCCCTAGCGATTGAGGGAACACGCAATAGCGTGTATGTTGCGTGTATGTTGCGTGGTAGTTGGGTGGTAGTTAATTTTATGCATAAAAGGGCCAAAAATCATAAAATTAATATGCATAAGTTAAATAAATTTTGAAATATAAATGATTTGGGTCAGTTTAGGGTAATTAACTGGTTTATTTAAATAAATTATAAGTAATGAATAATATGGGGGTATTGTGCAATGACAGACTGATATGGGAGATCCCGCTGGATGGCAGCAGTGTTGAAATACCACAGGGGTCGGTAAACCTGATCAGTCACTTGATCAGGTTTTCCTTTACCATTCACTGTAGGGTTTTCTCTCTGGAATATTCTCTAAGAAATCTTTTTGAATTAATTATAAAATTTCGGTGAAGGGTGCATAAACACAAAAAAAATCCGTGATTTTGATTTTTAACAAATTTGATTTATTTTTTTTTCTTTTCTTGTCTTCGGTGATTCCTCAATCCTTCTAAAATCCAATGTCGCACATTTTCCAGCTGCAGCAGGTGTTCGAGAAAAATACGATTCCGTTCATGAATGGTTTGATTCTCTGTGGTAGGCTTCGTTTCCTTTTTTGTTCGACTTCTCCCTACGATTTGCAGGTTCTCCCCGCTTCTTACAATTCGCAAGAGCGGGAGTTGCGAATACTTATCCTTATGCTTTATAAGTAATTTTAAAATTACTTATAAAGCATAAGTAATTTTATACTTATCCTTATGCTTATAAGGATACTTATAATATTAAGGATATAAGGATACTTATAAGGATACTTATAATTTTACAATTATTCATAAAGCATAAGGATAAGTATTATTTTATAAGTAATTTTAAAATTACTTATAAAGCATAAGGATAAGTATTCGCAGTTCCCGCTCTTGCGAATTGTAAGAAGCCGGGGGAACCTGAAAATCGTAGGGAGAAGTCGAACAAAAACGGAAACGAAGCCTACCACAGAGAATCAAACCATTAATGAACGGAAGCGTATTTTTCTTGAACACCTGCTGTCGCTGGAAAATGTGCGACATTGGATTTCAGAAAGACTGAGGAATCACCGAAGACAAGAAAAGAAAAAAAAAATAAATCAAATTTTAAGAAAATCAAAATCATGAATTTTTTTTATGTTTATGCACCCTACACTTAAATGGTATAAATAATTCAAAAAGATTTCTTAGAGAATATTCCAGAGAGAAAACCCTAGAGTGAATGTTAAAGGAAAAGCTGAGAGAAATCGGATCGGAAATTGAATAGAAAATCAAACAAAAAATCCTTTTGGTTAAAATGCTCTATAGAAAATCTTCTAGAATATTTTCATATGAATTTTTCCCTCCTCCCCCTGTTCGCCTCACCCTAGACCATTGCACTTCGACAGAAAAAAATGATCAGTAAACTGTTATACTTGCCTATATGGTAATCTTCTATGATTTACCTAGGTAAATTCTATAGGATTTTTTATAGCAATTCTTACAGAATATTCTTATGTGAATACACCCCTTCTTCCCTTCTCCTTCTCGCCCAATTCTATAGGATTTACGATAGGCGAATCCTGTAGGATTTTCTATAAGGAATCTTATAGAATATTTTCATATATTTACCTATAGGAATCTTATAGGCTTTACCTCAGCGAATCCTATAGGGTTTTCAATTGGAAGTCCCATAGAATATTTCCATATGAGCTCTTCTCCCCATCCCCACTTCGCCTCCCCCCAAATCCAATTACGAAAAATTAGAACTTATCTGTCATGAACTCCATTATTAGGGGTCGAGTAATTTCAATTTATTTAGTCATCGGTGAATAATTAGAATCCTGTAGTTTTAATATAATTGAATAATTAGCGATCTGTCCCGCGTATCTGGAAACTGCTAGGACCGATCAAGTTTACCGACCCCTGTGGTATTTCAACACCGCTGCCATCTAGCGGGATCTCCCGTATCAGTCTGTCATTGCGCAATACCCCCACATTATTCATTACTTATAATTTATTTGAATAAAAGATTTAATTACCCCAAATTGTCCCAAATCATTGACATTTCAATATTAATTTAACTTATAGCATATTAATTTTCTGATTTTTGGCCCTTTTATGCATAAATTTCACTACCACGCAACTACCATGCAACTACCACGCTATTTCGTGTATACAGGGTGTCCCAGAAGTACGTGCCGATAATTAACCGGCATGTACAGGGGGTGAGTCTGACCCGAAAAGTCCTTTACTACTTTTGGATCAGAAGCACCCCTCCGGAGAGACTGGGGTTAACAGGACAGCCAATGACGCTGACGCGTTAAGCGGCAGTACGTCGGTGTGGCTGTCGCGCTCGAGTGTGAGTGATTCCCCTTCGAGCCAGAAGGAGGCGGGATCACGTTCCACATTCACCCGTGAGGGTGAGAGAGAAGTCATGGTATTCTCTCTCACTCTCTCGCATCACTCCGCGGCAATGTTCTTGCAGTTATCTTTTAAACAATTGGGTTTTT